CTGCGAGCTCGTGGAGAAGTGTGTTACCGTCGTGATCAACGATGGTATGGTCAAGGCCGATGCCCAGTAAAAAGTCGAAATTCGGAGTGTCCTTTTTATCATCAGAGGAAAAGCCGACCATTTGCGTTTTGATAGCCTCATGCAGACAAGTCCTTCCTCTGTGATCTCGCAAGTGGGGAAGGGCTCCTTGGTCGAGAAGAAACTGAACAGGATTGCATGACCCCTTGTCATCAACATTCGACCTCGCCTTGGATAGCTGTGGGATGTTGTGCCAGAAGATAGTGCGCCCAGTTCGATCCTGTGCATTGATGTCTGCACCCGCTGACAACAAAAGATCCCAAATCTTTTCGGCATCTTGGGACCTAAATGATACCATCAGGGCGGTTTCGTCTTTGCGATTCCGTCTATCCGGCTCAACACCGCTTTCAAGAAGCGCTTGGACAATGTTCTATATTTTCCATTAGCTGTTAAGCAGTGTACAACGTTGGACCAGTGATCTAGCCTACCGGTGTTGCGTAGTATGACTTGAGTGCTACATGAAGGGTGCTTTCGCCGGCCGAGTTGAGAACTCGGGCATCAGCGCCGCACTCTAAGAGTAGCAGGACCTTGTATTCGTTACCATCACCAAGGGCCGCGAGAAGAGGCGTGTCTCCATGTACGTCTCGCGCGTTGATATCGGCGCCTGCCTCCGTCAAGAGGGGGATGCAGGCTGGGACCTGGGAGTAATGAAGCGGTGTCCGACCTTTTGAGTCCACGCCCTGAGCCGAGACTCCGTGTTCTACCAGAAGCCGGGCCAAATAGTAGGACAGCTTGACAGCAGAGTGCAGAGCAGTTGTTCCATCCTCCATCTGGCGATTGACATCAGCACCCGCCTTGATGAGAAGTGTGAGTATCTCGCAGCAGTCGTCATCGTCCCAATCATGAGGAGATATCGAGAGATCCGGTACGCCACACAGCGCATGAAGGCAAGTGTATCGGGCAAAAGAGCCATCCGACATCTTTCCTTTTTGTTCAAAACTCCCAAACTCCTGCACCCAAACCTCATTCAGGCACTCCGGGTCAGCTCCAGCTTCAAGTAAGACCTCCACAGTAGCCAAATCCCTTGTTAAGCAAGCTTTGAATAGAGATGTGCTGCCATGGACCATGGCTTCGACCTCTACACCGGGCTGTGCCAACATGTGAGTAACTACTCTCGCTTGCCCATTTTCCGCAGCCCAAGCCAAACAGTTGTGCATTGCTTCGAGATCAATGTACGGTAAGAATACGTCAACCGTCTCTACATGTCCGTGTTCGCATGCATGTGCGATGGCCGGTTTCCCGCTGCCGTCACTCATTTCTTCCCCGGCTATGTCTCGATCGGTAAGACCTTGGGGTGTGAAAGGGTCAACGCCAGCGTCTAGCAGCACCCTTACAACCGCGTGGTGGTTCTTGCTAGCAGCTTCGTGCAGTGGCTTTCGCCCACTCAAGCCATCGCGATGATCTGGATCGGCGCCTCCAGCGATGAGCTCTCTCACCGTAGCAGCGTGGCCCTCATAAGCGGCCCACCATCTGTTGGTCAGGGTCAGCATACCTCTCCGTTGATGTCTCCTTTGGTACTCGATTGACAACTCACAGCGATGTTTTGCCCGTGATATCACATGCGTTCAGATCGCCAGACCAACCCGCCACGAGCTTCCGCGTATATGCAACAAGCCCGTATCTTCCTGCAAGGTGTAGGGCCGTGAACATTCGTGCATTCGTTCCATATCCAGGCCAGGACACCTCAAGCCACGCCTTGATATTCTTATCAACACTGAGGAACTGCTCAAGGACCTCGTTGATCTCATCTTGCTCATAGGACACATCCTCAGAGCTTCGGATGTGAGCGTGCCAGTTACGAGTAGCATACTCGAAGAAGGGAAATTTCATTCGCAGCTCAAGTACAGCCTCCGAAACACGTGTGGAATTTGGGTATTGGCAGTTCTCATCACCAAAACCCAGTTTCGTGTCGCTGTCATCGATAGTAATCTCTATCTCGTCAAGGCAGCGCGTCACCAACAGATACCGCAGGCATGATAGAGCAAGCTGGGCGTGAGCCGGTCCTGGCCGCAGCACTGGATAGCCGCCCTCGTGTTCAGATCGTGTAGTGCCTTTGAGGTATTCGGTGAAAGAATGGTGAACAACAGACACTGTTTCATCCGGTAGGATTTCAAGAAGCGGCCCACACGCTGTCCTAACAAGATCCTTCATAGCCCTCAGGTCTCGGCCATTACCAGCAGGATCGATCACACTGCACATCTCGGCGAGCTCTAGTAGTCGTAGCGGCTTCGTCGCATGCGTGACAGACTGGAGAATGAGGTGCTGGACGCTCGGCGATATGCCAGACCGCCTGGCATGTTCCTGCAAGAGTTCGGTATAGAGAACATTGAGATCTGCGGGAAGGTGTGCCAATACGGTCTTAATATCGGCACCTGGCTCGAGAAATGCCTCCATAGCTAGCTTCGCGTATAGGAAGAGACCGTTCGCCCGACCGGGCACAGCGTTTACGATTACGTCCCACTCGCTTCGAGGAATATGTGACTCTGAGAGGGCAGAATTCACATAGGTCGAAATGTCAACATCAACGAGTCGCTCCTCAAGCCGGATATGTAAAGCTGGTGTCTGGCGGAGGGGGATCTCAACCCTTGGAACAGGTCGACTTGATACCAAGACCTTAACCTTGGCGGGCTTCCACTGGCCAAGCGACCCGATGGTTCGGAGAAAGGCATCATTACCGGTGTCCATTTCGTCGAGCGCATCAGCGACGCAGAAGACCTTGTCAGGCAGACCTCGAAAGGCCATCTGCAGATCCTTCAACAGATCATCAGTCGATAATGAGCTTAGCGACACTCCATCCTCAATATATGTCCAGAGCTGATGTTGTAGCGGCGGGCTATAATGCAGAACTTGCTCCAACCAATCTCGAAGAAGGGCCTGCGGATTATGGTTGGCAGCGATAATCTGTCGGAAAAAGAAGAAGAGAACTGGACAGCCAGGGTTTGCCTTGCCTAGGTCATCAATCAATTTAGCCACATGGACGGATTTGCCGGACCCGGGGATGCCTTTGATCCAGAGCAGGCCAAGGTCCGCTCCTTGAAGCCATTGCCGGTACTCGTCAGTAGAGGTAAGCCATTGTCCGGTCCCCGGAGCGTGGGATGTGAGATGTTTGCGGAACTCGCCGCCAGCGACGGAGTACGATGTTGGCTCGAGCCACTCTCGAATCTTTTTGATCTCATCGGTCGATTTTGGGAGGATGTTGTCGGGATTATAGTTGCTTACGTCGTCGCGATCGACGATGATGGCGTCAGGGTCGCTATAGTTCTCGCTATCCGACATTATGAAGTATGTCACAGTTCAATATCTTTGTCGATATCACGATGTACCAGATGTTTCCCTGTTCACCAGCTTGGATGATATTGGGATATTGAAATTGCAGTAGTCGGTGTGCAGGCGAAAAGAGGAGATTCGTAAGCCGCAACGCCCGCAGGATCAGGATGCCAAATTGCGAACTTCTTACATAATAAACATGACTAAAGTTGTTTAAGGCGAGCGATCCACTATTACGCTATTAACAGCTCACGCTAAGTCTGACCGTGCTTAAATATAATATCGTTAATATTATATTAGAAAGGTACTTCCCGTATTTGTTAGATCTTGCTTAGCGAAGTACCTTTTAAGCTAGCCCTAAATGGACTAGTACCTTGGGAAGATGGATAGTTACGTGATTTAACTCTTGCATGCATTGCTACCGCTACGAGAAAGAAGTATTAGGCGGCCCCTAATTTATAGATAGGAACGGCAGGGTTATAGCATTAAGGCAAGGACGCGCTACAATAGCCTACAATAAGTTTAAAGCTTTTTTCCTATACTGACCCACACAACCTAACCTAAATTAGCTATAATTATCTAGCTACTTTAAGATTATAATTTTAATTACCTTTGTTATTAATTAAATATATCTAATACTTAATATACTAGCCTTTTGCCTTAATTACTATAGCGACCTTATTTAGTATTATATTAGAGAGGTTTCTTAAGACCCGTGGCTTAATCTTATCCTAAGCTTCTATCGCGGCTCGCACTAAGGCATATTTAGTTTTAACTATATTATCTATATAGTTAAGTTCAGGGTATAACTAATAGATCTCTGCCTTTATTAGGGCCCATAGGTTCTTAATAGGGTTTAGATCTAGCAAGAAGTATAGCTATTTCATAACCTTAATGCCTAGGTCCTCGAGGAGACTTTTAATAATCCGGGCGGTATAGATAAAGGCGTTATCTATTAGTAGTAAAAGGTATAGAAGAGAGTAAGGAGGTTAAGCTGCTATAGAGCTATGTATAAGTAGGTAATGCGATGTAAGGGTCTTGATTCTTGCCCTACTTGCTTTGTATGCGTTTCGCCTTATATCCTTAGTAACTCTTAGATCTTTATAGTCTAATCGGTTTCCGAGCAGCTAGCTAGCTGCATTTTCCCTTCCCTTGCGTTGCTCCCTTAGGCCGAGGCCTCGGGCTTCCGCCGGCTTCTGTCGGCCTCCGCAGCCCAATTAGCAGTCCAGATATTTCCCGATTGGGAGGCTCATGACATTGTCATACATAAAGATATCGCCTTGTTAAATAAACCACGGCAACACATAGTTATATAGGTCATAGATACCTTCTGAGTTAATATTACAGACGAGAGGCACGAGAGGCATATAGCACCTTTAACCAAAGGCGGCCTAGAACATCTGCCGTACGCCGCCTTATCTCCTAGCTTCTATAATATCGCTCTATTCAATCTATTCAGAAGGGCGCAAAAAGCTCTATTCAGGCCGAATACCTTGGCCTTAACGAACTATATACTTATCGCTCTATTTAACACGGCTCTAGTCGAGTTCCTTATAGTATTCTGCCTATTAGAGTCGCTTCTAGGCCTAGAGAGGCATTAACGCGACGCATTTCCGCTTCAACCACTTCCTCTTATTTATCTCGCGAAGAAGGTACTAAAGGGAATATTCTTTAATGGCGTTATCGATGGATTTAAGGAGGTCTCGGTGTGTAAGGTTGGGGTTGGTTGTGAGGGCATTGTATATTTGATCGCGCTGCTCTTCTGTGAGCTTTCGTGGGGCTCCTAGGCGCGGCAGGGAGTGGTTTTCGGCCCCGCGTTTTTCTTCGCGATAAATCGTCGTTTTGATCGTTCTAAGGGGGACTTCTAGGAGGGCTTTTTAAATCTAACGAAATTTATAACCTTGCTTTTATAGCTCGCAAATGCGCGACCGTAAAGACGGCGATAATTCCTTGCCGCGAGGCATCGTGATATGTAGTATTAAAAGGAGGAAAAGCAGTTATAAACGCAGCGTTAAAAAAACTAGCTAAAAAGGGCTAGCCTAGGCTAAGCTAGGTAAGGTCAGTATAAGAAAAAAGCTTTAAACTTATTATAGGCTACTATAACTATAATATTAGGGATATTATAGAGAATTTTTTATAGGATAGAGAAAAGTCTATTTAATTACTTTTATTATTTTATTCCTAGTCCTACTTCTACTTTCGGTGCTATAATGCTAGATAGGTTAGCTAGGTGCTTTTCTCTTCTGCTATCTTATCCTTTTATCTAAGTAAAGAGATTACTTTATAGCGCCTATTATTTAGCGGCTTATATTATTCTCTTTAGTAATAATAATAATATTAGACCTATTCCTTATTATTTCAAGGAATACCTAATTAGGTCTCTTAGCACGGCCTTATATGTTTAATAACCTATAACCTTTTAAATCTAATATAGATATTACTTTCTCTACCGTGTCTTAGGCCATGGTATTAAAATAAGCATATTATATTAATTAAAGAAGAAAAAAGATTAGCGCTAACTAATAAAAGCTATAGATAAGAAGATATCTATATCTTAGCTACTAATAGATCGGAATAGCTATTAATCTATTAAAGTAATAAATCTTAATACTCCTACTCGAGCTATTAGTATGAGATATTTTTATATAATAAAGTATAGCCTTATTAAAACCTTAAAATACCTTCGTGGGTAAAAAATAAGAAAGAGCTTCTATTACTATACCTATATTAGATTATTTAGTCGCCGGGGCCTTAGTACCCTAGATCCCCTAGATTATTTAATAATTTAATATTTATAAGGTAGATAGCCTTAAGTTTCTAGTTATTAGAGCCTTAATACCCTATATCTTTTAGCTTATTTAATATTTAGATAAAGCCTTAGAATCTTTGATTATTAAAGCCTTAGTACCTTAGATCTCTTATTTTATCCTAGGTTTAATATTTATTTAATATTTAATATTTAAATAAAGCCTTAAAATCTTTAATTACTAGAGCCTTAATACTTTAGATCTCTTACTCTATTCTAAGTTTATATTTTCTAAAATAAATATAAAAGATATTAATATTATCCTTTATTAATATTAATAGCTAACTATAATAATTAAATTATCTTATTTTCTTTAGCTAGATCTAATTAAATAGGTTCTATTATATATCTTATAGGACTATAGTTATTAAGGCTAAAGAAGCTAATCTAGTGGTATTTACTATAGTTTTATAGTTTTATAGTTTTATAGTTTTATAGTTTTATAGTTTTATAGTTTTATAGTTTTATAGTTTTATAGTTTTATAGTTTTATAGTTTTATAGTTTTATAGTTTTATAATTTTATAAATTAGATCCTATATAATTTATTTCTAAATAAAATAGCTCTTATATATATATATTAAGCGTTTAAATATATTATAGAATTATTATAAGAAGCCGAGGAATTCCGAGCTAAGGACCTATGGGTCGCTTAGAGGCTCGATAAATAAGATAGACTATTAGGCACTTATTTTCTCCTACTTGGGGTATAATAAAAAGGGATAAAAAAAAAGAGAAATCATATAAACTTAATATAATAGATTTTCAATGCTATTACTTTTAAATCCTAAGGTAGTTTATTAGTAGGTCACTTGGTTATCGAGAGATCGCGGAGTATTAGTTAGCTAGGTATTCCCGGCTACCTCCTTTTCTTATGACCTATACTTACGTAATTAATAGCGAATTATGGGTTAGAGAGGCCTAGCGCGTTGCGAAATATAATAAATTGGTCTTTTAGGAGAGCTTTTATAAGTCTATCTGCGATTTATTATATAATTAAGATATATTAGAGCTTAATATCTCTATCTAAGACTTATTCTTAAACGTAATACTATTAAATATTAATATGCTTAGTCTTAGCATAGAACTATAGGTTTTTAGTTATTATAATTGCCCCTTAATTATCCCTATAGAGGATAATTATTTAAAGGTCTTTATATTTATATTAGGCTAGAAGTTTATATAGTAACCCTTATAGCTAGATGCTTCTTTAATATATTATATTTATCATATATACTCCGCTTTATAGGATAATAATATAGCTATTAGTTATTATTTAGAGTTTTAATTAATAGCGTCTATACTAATATTAAAGATATAACTAGCTATTAATTATCTAATATTATAATTACTAGCTTAGTCTAAGTTAATATACCTAATTAATAGTCTAAATAATTTACTAAAGGTAAATTTTAAGTTAATTATCCCTCGTAAATACCTTATAATATATTTAATAACTTAGATATATTTATTAATTAAGTTTCTTAGATATTAGCTATATAGGGAGATAATAAATATAATATCTAGGCGAATATTAAGTATAATATATATAAATAAGCTAATTATCTTTATATATTATAGTTTTATTATTTTAAATACTTTATAATTATCTAAGATAAATTAGAATTTAGATATATTTAAGGGAATTATAATTACTTATTATTTTTCCCTTATTTAAGCTTATATACTTATTTACCTTAGAGGGTATATTTTCCTAGAGGTAAGCTAATTAGTATAAAGGTATTATTCCTTATTAAAGAGTTAATTTTATTAATTATAGCTTATATCTATTATTTGCTATAAGGTAAGTTTATTACTTTAATAAAGGTTTTAGGCTTAATTAGTTCAAGGTTATTAGTAATTATAGCTAGGTAAATAATAATTATAATAAAGCGCTATTAGTTTTATTAAGCTAGGACTATATATCTTAATGGAATTTATTCTCTAGTTTCTTATATTAGAAAATATTATTAGGAATAACTATTAGCTACTTCCGCGATAAATTAGTATTTATTAACTATACTATTAGGGCTTTATATTCTTTCTAGAGTCCCTAGTTTTATATAAAAGCTTAGCTTATCTTAATTTAGTTAATAGGATTAGCTAGGGGCTAATTATATCTCTTTATTTATTCTAATATTTTCGGCTAGGGGTATAATTAAAAGAGATAATATAAGATTTATTTATTTTATATTAAGTTTATTAGTTAATTACTTAGATATAATTTATTCTCTTAGTAGGGATTTCTTATTAAATATAATATTATTCGCAAAGAATATTCTTTTATTATTATTAATTAAAATATAATTTATATTCCCTTAATAACTAAGGAATTAATAAGGGATTATTTTATTATTATTTTTTTATTTAGCTAAAGGTATCTTTATAAAGCCTTAGTTATTAATAACTTAGAGATAAGAGAGATTTAATACTTCCTTATATTATGCTTTATAAGGTATAATTTAATAACCCGAGGCTAATAAGAGGTTTTATATATATATTATAGCTTTAAGAATATATAGCTAAAATTTCTTTTTTAATCCTAAATAAATAAGAGGTATTATAAGCTTTTTAAGTAAGATATAATTTATTATTTTAATTACCTTATTTTATTTATGCTATTTAGTAGTAGAGAAGATTATCTTAATTATCTTATTTTTATAGTAAAAAGTAATTATATTAGCTTAATTTTCTCCCCCTCGATTAAGGTAAAAATAATAATAATAATAAGTTAATATCTTAGCTTATTTTAAAACTTATTAAAGGTAATTATTAAATTTAGATTTTTATTTAATTAAGAAAACTTAGGTTATTTTAATAAAATTATTTATAAAATAGGCCTAATATTTATAGCTATTAATACCTTTATTTAGGAAAGGGCTAGTAATATCGCTATATAGGCTCTCTAATAGTCTTATTCTTTTTTAAATATATTTATAATAAGGCCTTTTTTTTATATGCCCTTTTATATATATTTCATAAATATTAGAATTAAATAAAGGAGTAATACCTATAGATATCTTTATAAATAAATATAAGTTCTATTCTTTAAAATAGCTAAATTAATTATATTAGATTTATAATTTAGGGTTATTAATAAAATATATAGCTATAATAATATATAATTATTTATTATCCTTATTAATTATATATAGATTAAATTTCTTAGTAATACTAAGGATAATTTTATTATAATTTATAATAATAATCTTTTTTTTTAAAATAAAATAATTATTTTATTTTCCTTAAGGGCTAAGATTAAAATAAAATTATAATAAGTATCTAAGATATAAAATACCTTATAAAAGATTATTATTTTTTTAGTATTATTCTATATAATTCTAAGGGTATATATACCTTACCCCGCGGGTATAATAACTAAGCTAGCTATATTATTAATAATAGAGCTAATAAATTTCTTAAGTAATATAAAGTTTTATTAATAGTAAAATATATAAGAGGAGGCGCTATTATTTAATATATAAATTCGCTTAAGTAGCCTAGATAGCTTTAATATAGCTAAGCTAAATTAAGATTAAAAGGATAAAAGGGCTATATTTAAGAAGGTAATAGTAATAATATAATCCTTATTAAGTTCTAATAATAAAGTATTTTTTTTTCTTTTTTTAAGCTTAGCTTTTTATTATTTACTTTAAAGTATTTATTTTTTTTTAAATTCCTTAAGAAGGTTAAGATATAAGTTAAAATATTTAGCCTTAATATAACCTAATTTATTATAATAGCTATATATCTAAGTTATTTATTCTTTATTAAGGCTATATATTTTAGCTAATAAAGCTATTTATATTTTAGTTTTTTTTTATTATTAAATATTTATTTTCTCTTATTTTATAATAATAAAAGTAATTTTAAATATTATAATAAGTTTAATTATTTCTTTATTAGAGCCTTACTTAGATAATAAATTATAATCTTAATAAAAAGT